TCTCTAGTGAATGGATAGGCTGCATTCTCAGTGATATCACCGCTCTCTAGTGAATGGATAGGCTGCATTCTCAGTGATATCACCGCTCTCTAGTGAATGGATAGGCTGCATTCTCAGTGATATCACCGCTCTCTAGTGAATGGATAGGCTGTATTCCCAGTCTCTGGTGAATGGATGGGCTGTATTCACAATGATCATGGTAACTGTGTGCGTCCTTTTAGATCCAAACACTTGGATCTTAACTGTCCTTTCAGTGACTGAATGTGTTTAGCGTTGTGTCACTCGGTTACTCAGAAACATTGCGCTGGAACGCCAGGACTCGCATAGCGATCTGATGTGTGGAGGATTGATGAATTGTGTACTCCAGCTGTTTAGCTACCTTGCTATATAAGGGAAAGCATTGAGCATGTGTCTGGACAGAATAACCTTAAATCTGAACTCCGGCCTCCCCTTCAGCCTTGCGGAGTTGTACCGGCTCCTCTCCTGGACTGGAATGGCTTCCTCTGATGTCACTGCACACCGGGAGCTTCTCATAATGTGCATTAGAAGCTGCAGCAAGTCAGATAGAAGCACGGCTCATTTCCTGGATGGAGGACATCCAGCATCATGTAGCACTTTCCTCGCCATGCCTGGCTGTCCCTAGCTCACCCATCTCATTCAGTGGATTTCGTCTCTTTCCATCATGGAGGCTCAGCAGAGGAGAGGAGACTGTGCCAGTGCACAAGACTGGAGTTCAGCTTTATAAGGACCAAGGCCTTTTTTTCATTTTTTGCCCCCATGTTATAATCCACATTTTAGTCCTGAAAATGACTTAAAGCCCCCCAAACATTATATATTTTCTGAAAGCCAATACCCTATAGAATAAAATGTCGGCAGTTGCAATTTTTTGTGTTGCACGACATTACCGCCACTTATTATCAAACCCAAAACTTTAGTGAAAAATGCACTTAAGTAAAATTTAGTGCCCCAAAACACGATATAAAACCATTTTTTCTTGTAAAATATAAAAGATGAGGTTACAACGAGTAAATAGATACCCAACATGCCCAGGTCAAAAATTGTGTGCGTCCTTGAAGCTGTGAGAGAATTCAGTACCCCATAAAGTCCATACATGACGCTTTAAAAGCCCCCACAGGTCATCAGTTTAGAGATACGCATAAATATTGGGCCTAGAATTATTGCTCTCACTCCGGCGTGTGCAGGGATACCCAACATGTCTAGCGCGATCGTCGTTTTTGTACATGTACACGCGTGTTTACGTGACGACGCGTGTGTTTGCAGGAGCGGGGTACTTTAACATTTTTTTCTTTTACATTTAATTTATTTAATCTTATTTTTAAAACTTTTTTTAACTTTAATTGCTATCACATAGGGGAGCTTATAAGCCCCCATGTGATAGCATAATGGCAGTGACAGGTACTCTTTAAGGTGATGCTGGGGGTCCAAAAGACCCCCAGTGTCACCTATACACTAGAAATAAGCTATTAAAGTGCAGATCGCACTTCAATAGCTTATAGCGGTGCTTCAGGAGCCCAGCAATAACAGCTACGGAACCGGATGTGATGCAATATGCGTCGCTCCCAGTCCCATAGTACGGAGAGGGGAATCGGTGAATGGATGTTCCCCGTTCTCCTCCCCAGCTTCCCGCTGACACCCAGCAAGCCAGTCCTGGGCCTGTAGGAGGGGCTGCGGAGGCCAGGAGACAACGCGGGGGTCCCGGTTACCGGTAGAAGCAAGCTGGCGGCTGCAGAGCCGCCAGTATCGCTTCTACTGTAAAGCTGGCCGCCGGCTCTACAAAACAGAACAGACTTTTAGCTGCCGGCAGTCCGTGTAACCCCTTCAGACTTCACGACGGCATTATCCCGTCATAGGTTGTGAAGGGGTTAAACGGACTGCTACGTTGGTAATGTTTTTTTATTTGGAAGGGAATGCGCATACATTTTTACATAATTGTGTTTTATTAAGCCGCCTCAGACAGCCCAGAAATAGTTTTCACAAATCTTTGCTGCTTCCCAGCCAGATTATATTGGGGAGAGTTCTGTGCGCTCCGAGGTCTTTGCTGTTCTCTGGGGCCCAGATAAGTACATACACGCTGTTGTATTTGTTAAATCTGAGCTCAAAAAATCACTAACACTTTCCCGTCCGCAATTTCTACAGCAGTCCAATTTTTTTTTAAGGTCATCGAAGAAAAACGTCCCCCCTGTGAACAAAAAAAGTGAACCGACGGCACACTAAAAAAAAAAAAAAATGTACACGAGGGTGCTTTGGACCACCTCTAATGAGGAAGGGCCCCAAATTCCTGAACCCCCCGGGGCGCAAGGCTCCTGACACCTACCCAAAGGCCAGCAAACCCCTCTCTGCCGAAACAGGGAAGGGGCTCTACTGAAGACAGACCCCCCGGTGGGAGGAGGCAGGGGAGCCCGTAGACACCACAGAACCTCCTTCCCGAACTTCAGGACGGGCCCCGAAGGTACCCGCCCCCTCCGTCTTCTGTGAAGTCAAAAGGTGCTCAATCGTGCATCAAAAAAATGCGTAAAATAAAGTGCCAGCGCACAACCCTGGCAGGCCTTTTGGGCTGGAGTGGAAAAATATTGCCCCGAGCTAGCCATAAGGCCTGCCCTAGAGGCGTAGTGCAGAGATTGCAAGAGTGCCGTGACCTAGGGTCAGTGACACCCTGGGACGCCACCCACAGGGGGAACAGCACCACGGGCCTTCTGCGCCTCCCGAACCCTCCGGCCACACCAGAGGTGCAGCACCCGTCCCCATCAGAAGGCATTAGTGCAGAGGAAGCTCCTCCTCCTCTAAAAGGAGCCGCCTCAGCACCCACCTTCACTTCAGAGAGTACTAAGCAACCCTCCGCCCCTGGACGGGCCATGCTGTTCCTCTATGAAAACTGATAAGATACTACACTTGATCTTGGCCAAAAGACCTTCCTCAGCCCAATTCAAGAAAAGATCTCTTCCCTTTGTGAAGCGGCAAGCCGTCAAACCCGGCTGAAAGCATCGATTCCCCTCCCCCCCACTAATGTGAACCAATCAGAGTGCTCACAATGTCAGCTATGAGATAGTGATCACATGCAAGACGAAGGCTTCATTCTAAAATGTAATGGCTTCAGCTTGCAATGGCCACTAAGGCCTGTAGATGGCAGTGTGCCTCTGTTTAATGCTGTCATTGAATGATACAATTATAGTATTAAAAAGAATAAGTGGAAAACAAATCTACCTTTTATATACTGTGTGTGTAGATGGATGGAGTTATTTTCATGTTAACTGACACATACATTGCTACATTTTCCCTTGTATGTAGGCTGCAGCGACCTCTATGCATTTAAGGGTTAAATGTATTTTGTTCTATAACTGGTAGTAGACCCTAATATATATTTTGATACTGGACTCCTGTAAGCAGAATCCAGGAGAGGGAGATGAGTAGCTCTGGAAGCCAATCCGCAGTCCCCCTTTCTGAACAAAGCACATGTGGGGAGAGCAGAGGTACCACCGAGCTGCTCTTCCTTGTTTGTCCAATCATGGGCTGTGGGTGGACTGATGACCAAGCTTACTTGCTGACACTGCAAAGTAGTAAAGTTTGGTCACAGCCGAGCCATGCCGTTTGCAGGGTTACCTAGATGGAAAGTCTGGCTGAAGACAGTTACAAATATTGGGTCAGCAAAATCTTTTGACATCTTCTTGTATGGTCTTGCAGGGAGTGGGTCATGAAAAGCAGCATCCTGATCGCCATGTCGGTGTACACCTACCTGCGACTGATTGTCGACCACCACGGGACCCCGCAGCTCCTGACTCTGCGACAAAAGGAGGTGGACTTTTGTATCATGCTACTACGCGATCGGGTGAGTGCGTCCGCCTCCAAGCTGTATCTTTTATTCAAAAGTAGGATGAAATCAGGCACAGCCGATATTAGCTCTAACCCCTTTAAATTAAGCGTCAGGCCACCTAAACGTGGTTCCAGGTGGAGCTTTTTTGGTTGTGTCACTTGGGCTGGACTTGGGTTTCAAAGGGGTTTTCCATCAATGCGAGGGGTTTCCATCGATGAGGGAGGTTTCCATCAATACATGGGGGTTCCATCGATGCAGGAGGGGGGTTTCCATCGATGCAGTGGGTAAAAATTTGAAGTTTTATCAAGTTCTCACTCTCTAATTCCTCTTCTTTCTCTTCCCCGCAGTTCATGGACTGCTTCATGATTGGTCGGGACCTGGTCCGCCTTCTGCAGAACGTGGCTCGGATCCCAGAATTTGACCTGCTGTGGAAGGATATGGTGCACAACCCGCAGGCTCTGAACCCCCAGTTCACAGGTACTTACCCCCCCTGGTTTTTTTTCCTCCTTCCCTTGTGATGAAAGATATACCCCCTCTGTCCGACCCACGGGTCCATTGCCAGTGCTGATTCAGTGCTATATAGATGTGTCCATGCTGGCTGGGTTCTGACAGTCCGCTCGCACTGGCCATTGCAGACTGGATCATGGGAGGACCCCACCGCTGGACAGCAATTAGGAAAAGTCCACGTTACGCAGGATGTGGACTCCAGAAGAAGGATCCAACCTCTTGTAAACAGGAGAGAGAAGACTCGGGAATGGAAGGTCACGTGACCGCGGCTTTTAGGTGAGTATTAATACCAGTGACCAGTTGAGGGCGGGGGGACGACGACTTCAATATAGGCTTTAAACCAAAAATAGGGTTATGGTTCAGTGCAGTTTCTCTTCCCTCTCTGATTGCTGAAAATGATCCCGCTGTTGATGAGTGAGATGAGGGGGGGGGGGGGGGGTGCATGCTAATAGTGCCCTCTGGCCCCCCCGCTCTGCAGACAGGTTGTAATTAGTTCCCAGCTTCCTCCTTCCCTGGAGCTGCAGAACATCTATTTTTAGCTGTCACATCATCCGCTGCCTCCCATCTCACCAGTCCCCGTGTGTCAGCCTTGTGTCCCCCCCACCCCTTCCCCACTTCATGGAATGTGAGTCGGAGGTCTGGGGGGGGGGGCTTTTTAGGTATACGGATATAATAAGAGCTTGGAGGGTCTTGATTACTGTTAGCAGCCGAGCTGGAGCATAATTTTAAATCTTTAAAATATGTGGAGCGGTCTTAATCACTTCACTCCAGACAGGGCAGAGGGGAATGGTCGGGCCCGGTGGCACCTCTGTCACCTGCATAGGGTGTAGTGTCTGCATAGAGCACGTTCCCTTCCCTTATGGTTTTGGTCGGCAAAGCAGAGAGAATGATCCTGCTCAACCTATTATTTCATTAATAGTGTTGACTGTGGGGGGGACATTAGAGTGTAAGCTCCTCTGTACAGAGACTGATGTGACTGTGGGGGAGGGGATATTAGAGTGTAAGCTCCTCTGTACAGAGACTGATGTGACTGTGGGGGGGGACATTAGAGTGTAAGCTCCTCTGTACAGAGACTGATGTGACTGGCTCAGTGTTCTTTGTACAGCACTTCGGTATATGTCAGAGCTATATACATGTATAATAATAGTGTGTGACTGGGGGGGGGCATTAGAGTGTAAGCTCCCCTGTACAGAGACTGATGTGACTGGCTCAGTGATCTCTGTACAGCGCTGCGGTATATGTCAGAGCTATATCAATAATCTAGAATTATTTGAGAGTTATTGGCTTTTCTTTCCTGTCCTCGTAGGAATCCTTCAGCTGTTACAGTCTCGCACTTCTCGCAAGTTCTTGGCCTGCCGCCTGACCCCGGACATGGAGACGAAGCTGCTGTTCATGACGTCCCGGGTAGGTGGCAGTATGTTGTAGTTTGGACATACACCTATATAAGAATGAGACACATGGAGTATGACGGGTCAGGACAGGAAGGGATGAGATGGAGTCAATGCAAGTAGTCACAGTAGGATGTCTGAAACTGTTTGCTCTCTCTAGTCAGATTAAAAGCCACCTTGGCTAGTCCTGGTTTCTGACTTCATAGGCCTAATTCAGTGATTGTCAACTTATAAGGTGTAAGGGGCCCCAACTGTGTCCCCTGACAGCTCCAAAGGATGGCACATTATATTCAGTATATGACAGAAGACTGTCAGAGACTTCAAACATATTAGAGGAGATGATCAGAGAGTGCAGATCTGCATCAGGGGTGGTTGGAGACTTCCACAGGCCTAATTCAGTGGTTGACAACTTGTAAGGTGTAGGGGCCCCCAATTGTGGCTCCCGACAGCTCCAAAGGATGGCATATAATATTAATTAGGGATGTGCCGATAATAGTTCTTCAAGTACGAGTACTGATATTTTGCTTTTGGTACTCGCCGATACCGGCGCTTCCGCTGGCATGGAGCCAGCTTCCCGGGCGAACAGGAATCTGGGCGGTGGGTAATGACATACTGCCTGGCTTCCTAATTACCTGGGAAGCTCCATGTTGTTTGGCCGGCTTGATTGTGATTGGCTGGGAAACTGGCTTCCAGCCATTTAGCATGGAGCCGGCTTCCAGGCCAATCAGAAAGCCAAGCGACGAATAATGACCCGCCTCCCAGCTTCCTGATTGGCCGGAAAGCCGGCTCCATGTTGATTGGCTGGAAAGCCGGCTTCCCAGCTAATCAGCATGTAGCCGACTTCCCGGCCAATCAGGAAGTCGGGATGCGGGCCACTTCTCGCCACCCAGGTTTCTGGTCGCACGGTAAGCTGGCTCCATGCTTCCCTACGGCACTGCCAGTTCCGGTATCGGAGCATTTGGGTGAGTACTCGCCCAAATACTCTGTATAGACACTGATACTAGTATTGGTGCATCCCTACTATTAATTATATGACAAAAGACTGTCCGAGACTTCAAACATACTAGAGGAGATGATGAGAGAACGCAGACCTGCATCATGTAGGGGTGGTTGGAGACTGGGAGTGATGGTCAGAGACTGGGGACACGTTACATGAGACCACTAGTCATTCCAGCCTCTTTACAAATGAATGCTTCCACTACTGACTGCTGGGGTCTACAAAGGGCCGTACAGCAAGTAGCAAAGGGCAAGATGTGGCCCTCGGGCCGTAAGTTGGGCATCAAGGACCACAACTGGATTTTAAATGGACATGAATGCCTCTTGGCCAGCACTGCCGTAGTTTGAGCGACTTCTGCCGCACTTTCAGTCCTCTGACCGCTCAAAGCTGGGAGACGAATGAACCCGCGGCCTTTACGTCGTGGCCGCCAACTTATGGAAAGCTCCAGAATTGCCAAGTGCGTCCGGCATTACCCCCCCTCGTTTTTCCTCTCTATCCTTCCATGAAGTTTCCTTTTTCCCACAGTGCTCCTCTCCATCCATCTCCCCCTCCAATTATCCCGCCGTCGCAGCCCAGCGAGCTTGAGAATAGTCTCCCCCCACTTCCAGATCAATAGCCATCAAGCCCGTCCGCGAGGTTTGCCAATCGCTGAGGCGGAACCGCGGCGCTGGAAACTAATTGTCATTGATTTGTAAAACGCGCACGGAACAATGTGCAGCGCCGCAGTTGTAGCGGGAAGCGATAGAGGTGAAAATAAAGAGTCGCCGCGTCTATTATTTTTGCAGGCAAGACGTGATTCAGTGACTGCCGCACCGCGTTTCGGTCTGACAGAAAGCAGATTGGATTCGCGTATGCTTCAGTAGCTCCGAGCCGCGATATCTGAGATCTGAGGGTCCTGCTGTTTGTTTTTTAAAGGGCGGCAGGGAGTTGGAAGGTGCGCTGAAGTGCAAATTGAGATTCGGAGCCTTGATTGGGATCGTGGCGTCCCCCAGACATGGACATAGCACGCTGGTCACTCCTTTTGGCTGACCGATGCATTACATATGTAGGCTCCGCTTTTGGGGGTACAATATGGTCGTGCCTTGCTGATCCTCTATATCCAGTCAAACGCATGCCCTCCAGCTGTGATAAAACTGCAAATCCCATCATGCATCTGCCTCTAGGACTCATGCCTTTGGCTGTCAGTCTTGCCATGCCTAATGGGATTTGTAGTTCCCCAGCATCTGGAGGGCCGGAGTTTGCCTACCTTTGCTCTACAAAGTCTTTCAAACGGATCTCCAGCCTCCAGGGCTAGTTCACATCAGCCACAGTGCGTTCCGGCCCGATTCTGGACGGAACCCACTGGATCATACGGGAGGGGGGTGTGGCGGTGCATTGAACTCAATGGTACCGTAACCACGCTCTCCGGCCGCACGGGAACGCAAGGCACACCAATGCCTGCGGTCCAGTCAGAAAAAAATGCTGCAAGCACTATTCTTTCTGACCGGACCGGAACGCAGACATTCATGTGCCACGTGTTTCCGTGCAGGCGATCGCATTGCGGCTGGAGGGCGTGGCTGCTGTGCCATTCACTTCAATGCACCGCCCCCTCCTGCCCCACAACAAAGTGAGCCTGCCGCAATGCGATACAGTGCGTTCCGGCACCTTCCCACCCCACAACAAAGTGAGCCGGCCGCAATGCGACACAGTACGTTCTAGTCCCCTCCCGCCCCACAACAAAGTGAGCTGGCCGCAATGTGATCCAGTGCGTTCCGGCCCCCTCCCGACCCACAACAAAGTGAGCCGGCCGCAATGTGATCCAGTGCGTTCCCAATCTATGGCTGGGTGGGTACTATCCCTCAGTCTTGCTCCTCTCCTTTACGGAAACGGCTTTCTCTGATTTCACTGCACACTGCGAGCTTCTCACAATGTGCATTAGAAGTCAGATAGAGCCCGCCTCACTTCCTGGCTGGAGGACGTCCAGCACCATCTAGCCTTTTCCTCCCCTCCATGACTGTCCTTGGCCACGCCCCGTTCATTGATTGGATTTCGGTTCTTTCATTCTTCACAAGGCCAGATCGTCTGTGATCCTTTCCTAGGCCCCCAGATCACAAGAGGGATTTGAAGAGCGGATATTTTTAATCCGTGGAGAGCAGAACATTAGTTGTAGTAATGATGTGATTTGTTAATGTGAAGTGTGAGATTTAGTGACAGGTCCACTTTAATCCGGTGCTTTCTCTCCTCTAGGTGCGGTTTGGTCAGCAGAAGCGATACCAGGACTGGTTTCAGAGGCAGTACCTCTCCACCCCGGACAGCCAGTCCCTGCGCTGTGATCTGATCCGCTACATATGCGGCGTGGTGCACCCGTCTAACGAGGTGCTGAGCTCGGACATCCTGCCTCGCTGGGCCATCATTGGCTGGCTTCTAACCACCTGTACGGTACGTAAACCGAGAGAACAGCCGGCGGAGGATCAGAATTGCCCCTTTAATTGTTTGCTATACCCCAGCCTGCTTGCCTGCATCCACCTGGAACTGAAATGTCTAGTTGCTATGAATTGTTTTTACGTCATTTTCAGGCCTAAAATGTGGAATATAACATGGGTGCAAAAATTGAAAAAAGGGCCTCAGTCATGAAGGGGTTAAAGGGAATGTTTAGTGTTGTATTTTTTTATCATCAAGACTATAATATTGCATATCATTGTAGGTTTTAGGCAGTATTGGATGCTCAGGGTCACCCTTTCAGGTTTACCATTGTGTCTTTGCTCACACAATGATGAAAGAAGTTATCACAACAGCGACTCCTCCCTTTATCAGATGTAGGAGGTTTCAGTCAGACAAAGGGAGCTGCAAAGCAAGCAGAATCTTCTGTGTGGCCTTGTTAACTAATAGTGTTCTCGGAATCCTTTGTCATTGTTTAAATGCTTGTTGGCAGAAGCAGGGAGATTGTTCCATTACAGGTCCTCAGGTACAGCTTCCTCTCCAGCAAGGAGAACAGTAAGGTGGAAAAGTACAAATCCACAGAATGAAGCAGGGAGATCCTTGCATTACAGGTCCTCAGATACAGCTTGCTCTCCAGCAGGGAGAACAGTAAGGTGGAAGAAACACAAATCCATAGAATGAAGCAGGGAGATCCTTCCATTACAGGTCCTCAGATACAGCTTCCTCTCCAGCAAGGAGAACAGTAAGGTGGAAGAAACACAAATCCATAGAATGAAGCAGGGAGATCCTTGCATTACAGGTCCTCAGGTACAGCTTCCTCTCCAGCAAGGAGAACAGTAAGGTGGAAGAAACACAAATCCATAGAATGAAGCGGGGAGATCCTTGCATTACAGGACCTCAGGTACAGCTTCCTCTCCAGCAAGGAGAACAGTAAGGTGGAAGAAACACAAATCCATAGAATGAAGCAGGGAGATCCTTGCATTACAGGTCCTCAGGTACAGATTCCTCTCCAGCAGGGAGAACAATGAGCAGCAACATAGTGACATCTCCAAATCTGCTGAGCCTAGTTGTCATAGGCAGCAGATCTCACAATGCAGATATACAGAATACAGAGCAGGAGTGCCTAGGCAGTGGACCCGGATATGCTTCCGGAGGAATCTGAGATAAAAGGTAGATTTGTCAGGGTACTATGTAGATACAAATAACATTTCTTGAGGTTCCCTATAAATGAGCAAATCTTCACTTTATTAATATCAAAACCATTTATCAATGGAATCCAAGTCGAACCATAGTCGGTGGGTTCTGGTTGGTAGCCATACCTCGGGTTAATCCATCCATCTCCCTCCTTCTTTTTTCCCCAGTCCAAGTCGAACCATAGTCGGTGGGTTCTGGTTGGTAGCCATACCTCGGGTTAATCCATCCATCTCCCTCCTTCTTTTTTCCCCAGTCCAACGTGGCCGCCTCCAACGCCAAGCTGGCTCTGTTTTATGATTGGCTCTTCTTCAGCCCGGAAAAGGACAGCATCATGAATATCGGTAAGCTGGCTCTGGCCTCACCCTGCGTTGTATTGGATTTCTCCTCTCGCAGCGTCTCAGCATGATGGTGGCATATTATAATTTATCTGTGTTTGCGTGTTATCTATCTCTCCTTCACCCCGTCCTCTGAAAGCCTTTCATCCCAATGCTCTGCCTTCACCTTGGCATTCCTGCCTTTGTGAGATGTGCGGAGCCGCCATGTGCGCACGGCGCTTTAAATCATTTATAGCTTTCCTTATCAGATTGATTAATGGGATCAGCCTGGAAATTTGGTATTGAAAATAAACGGAAAGCACCATTGAATCAGGCCTAAGGATTGGGGATAGAGCTTAGTCTCATGTTTGTCAGTACGCCTCAATGCAAATTAATTGATCTTATGGATACATATAAAACAGGCCGTCCATCCTGTACTGTCGCTGTGGCCCAGGGTGGGCTTTGTCCTTCAGTAGAAATACACTACGGCAGACATGTTTAAAGTTTCATTAAACCCTTCAAATATTTTGTTAGGCTCACTTACTTGGACATATGCTCAGTCGTTTTCTTCCCCGGTCGCTTCATGCTACAGAAGATATTGCCCACTACACTTTCTATTATGGGCGGTGGCTACACTGCCTTGCAGGGACTCCCTGGAGCCCCAGGCGTAGCCACCCATATGTGCGCTCTCCCGACCAGGACTATAGCCGTTCAAGAGGCCTCACGGAGCCTGCACGGCTAAAGGGGTGCCAGGTATGGGTAATCCCTGACTCAGGCCCAGTTCAGTCCATGTTTCTGCCTGTACAGCTAAAGGGATGCTGATTCAGTACTCCTCAAGAGCCCTCAGCCATGATGCAAATTGGGCTAGCTCCTAGGAGGAATTATGCAAATATAATTAAAGATTGATGGGTGGGCGTCAGTCTGGAGGAGTGGAGGCTGTATTTGCATGCAGACCACCCTAGGTAAGGCCCATGTGTGATGCTGAGCCTCCATAATTGAAAACTGAAATCCAGTGAATGAAAGGGGCAGGGCCGGAGAAGTCAGGCTGAGGAGGAAAGGGCTAGGTATGCTGGATGTCCACCCGCCAGGAAACGAGGTGGGCTCTATCTGACTTATTGTAGTTTTATAATGCACATTGTAAGAAGCTCTCAGTGTGCAGTGAAATCAGAGGAAGCAATTTCAGGAGAGAGGAGTCAGCACTACTATAAGATTTAGGGGAGGCCAGAGTTTAGAATTACCATAGGGATGCCTATGATGAAGTCCTGATTGAGGGTGAATTGTGTGAGAGCAGTCATGTTCAGTGGGGATAACGATGTGAAAATAGCCAATAAAGTTTATTGAAACCAAAGAAAGAAAACAGCAGTGTGCGGCATGGAAGATTGTTCATGATCGGGTTTTATGGAGTGTGCCATCCCGGGAATGACAGGTACTCTTTTATTCTAGGAGATAATTGCATCCCCTCCGTCCCTTCCGCCACGTGCAAAAACTGTCTGAATTGATTTGCCCCACACAGGCTGTGTAACACGTCGTCCCCGAGCTTTTTAATAGCTGTTTCATTACCAGTCATTATGTTTGTCCTGCGTGGTCTTTGACATTTCCTGTCATCAGCTGCAGGTGCCGCTCCTAGTAACAGCTGCAATGAAACAGCAAGCGTAGAGCCGGCAGCCAAATTTACTAATCCCCCTTGTCAAGTGGACAGACAGCTTTGTTATAGATGTCAAGGGAACCTGTCATCAGTCAGTGCACACAGTGGTAACAGTCCTCCAACAGCAGGATCCGCAAATCGGCTCTAAATGGCTGACTAGAGTGGCCAGAAATGTGCGGACTAGGAGAACGCGAGTGATGGCGGCTGTCGGAGGGTGGGCGCTGCTTCTTTGGGGACCGCCAGACTGGTAGTGGGTACTATTTCAGCTGAACCAGTATCATTCAGCAATAAAGCACATTCGCTGTGGGTCACTTTAGAGGTAATTAATCTTTGATCGCAAGTTGCTCAGGAATTGACGCTGTCAACTTATAAAAAGACTGGTGAGGCTGTTCAGTGCATTCACTGCAGTTGTAGTCACAACAGAGATTAAGTGACGTATATTCTATATGACCAAGAGTCTGTGAACCCCTGACCATGACCATCATACCTCTATGAGCTGGTTGTGAACCCCTGACCATGACCATCACACCTATATAAGCTGGTTTTTAACCCCTGACCAGCACACCTCTATGAGCTGGTTGTGAACCCCTAAACATGACCATCAAGCCTCTGAGCTGGTTGTGAACCCCTGACCATGACCATCACATCTCGGAGCTGGTTGTTAACCCCTGACCATCACACCTCTATGAGCTGGTTGTGAACCCCTGACCATGACCATCACACCTATATAAGCTGGTTGTTAACCCCTGACCAGCACACCTCTATGAGCTGGTTGTGTACCCCTGAACTTGACCATCGCACCTCTATGAGCTGGTTGTGAACCCCCTCTGAGCTGGTTGTGAACCCCTGACCATCACACCGATATGAGCTGGTTGTGTACCCCTGACCATGACCATTACACCTCCTATGAGCTGGTTGTGAACCCCTGACCATGACCATTACACCTCTGTGAGGTGGTTGTGAACCCCTGACCATCACACCTCTATGAGCTGGTTGTGCACCCCTGACCATGACCATCACACCTCTATGAGGTGGTTGTGAACACCTGACCATTACACCTCTATGAGCTGGTTGTGAGCCCCTGACCATCACACCTCTATGAGCTAGTTGTGCACCCGACCATGACCTTCACACCTCTATAAGCTGGTTGTGAACCCCTAACCATCACACAGTCTGCATGAGGTTTGCATGTTCTCCTGGTGCTTGTGTGGGTTTCCTCCCACACTCCAAAGACATGCTGGTAGGTTAACTGGCTCCTGTCTAATCCGGCCCTAGTATGTGCATGTATGTGAGATAGGAGCATTAGATTGTAAGCTCCTTGAGGGCTGGGACTGATGTGAATGCTCAGTATGTAAAGCGCTGCATAAATTGTTGGTGCCGTGCTTTGGAGAATTCTGACTTGCATCCTAATTTGTTTTTTCCCTTCCTCAGAGCCCGCGATCCTGGTAATGCACCATTCAATGAAGCCGCATCCCGCCATCACTGCAACCTTGCTGGACTTCATGTGCCGGGTATGACATTGGATATAGAGGCAGGGGGCAGGCTGCTGGGCGTACAGGGCGTAATGGTATACCTGGTGCCCTAGTCTCCATGTTGAGTAGAAGCCACAAGTCAAGACATGATTAGGGCAGCCGCAGGGACAGCAAACACAGCGCCCTTTGAATTATAGAGATCTCACTAATGATGCCATCTGCACCTCGCTCTCCCAGGAAGTAAGGGGGTTAAGCTCCGGCACCCTCAATCGGCCAAACCATATCACATTGAAAACACATGGACACAAAAGAGAGCAGATTTATTTGTAAACCTCGATAAACTCAAACATTTTTTTTAGTGCGATGTATCCTCCTATCCTGGCTGGCATTCTGGAATTAGTTTTTTTTTGCGGTTCTATAAAATGCAGCATGTTAGTTTTATTTTAGCTCTCCTTTATTATTTTACTTTGTAGCTGTAGATAAAACGGCCAGTCTTCATTTTTAATCTGTTTCTATGAATAGCGCTACAATGCTGCTTATAGGAAGGGTTAAAACTGATCAAAGAAGGATTAAAAGGGCAGAGGAATAGTCTGAGTTTCCTTCAGTCTGATGTTATGCCTATTAAGATGGCATGAAAGCATCAGTGTGGCCTGTCATATTCAGGGTCTCTATCCACTCAAAGGACAAAATGATACAGGATGCTCAGCGGGGCAATGATGACACAGGGAGCCCTGGGGCCACTAGATAACACAGGATAGTCTGGGGTAGACTGGAATTATGGGGTACACAAGAGCACACTACGTGACACAGGATGCTCTGGGGGGCTTTGGAGTCACAGGGCGCACCGGGTTCAGTAGATGACACAGGATGCTCTGGTGCGCTCTGGAGTCACAGGGCGCACCGTGTTCATTAGATGACACAGGATGCTCTGAGGTGCACTGGAGTCATGGGGGTGCACAGGGTGCAATGTAGTCATCAGATAACCCATGATGCTCTGGGGTGTGCAATGGAGTCACGGGTCACAAAAAGACATAGAATGCTCTGAGGTTCACTACAGTCACAGGGCGTACTGGGTTCACTAGATCACACAGGATGCTTTGGGGTGTATTGGAGTCATGGGGTAACAAAAAGAAAATGGATAGTCTGGGGTGCACTGGAGTCATGTAGAGCACAGGGGTCACAAGAAGATATGGGTTGCTCTGAGGTGCACTGCAGTCATGGGGCGCGCTGGGTTTACTAGATCACACAGGATGTATGAGGTGCAGTGGAGTCATCGGGTCACAGGAGGACGCAGGATGCTCTGGGGTGCACTGGAGTCACGGGGGTCACAAAAAGACATAGTATGCTCCGAGGTTCACTAGATCACACAGAATGCTTTGGGTTTCACTGGAGTCACCCGTCACAAAAATACACAGGGTGGTCTAGGGTGTACTGGAGTCATGTGGAGCCCAAGGGTAAGAAGAAGCCATAGGGTGCACTGGGTTCACTAGATCACACAGAATGTATGAGGTACAGTGGAGGCATCGGGTCACAAGAGGACACAGGGTGGTCTAAGGTTTACTGGAGTCATGTGGAGCCCAAGGGTAAGAAGAAGCCATAGGGTGCACTGGGTTCACTAGATCACACAGGATGTATGAGGTGCAGTGGAGTCATGGGGTCACAAGAAGACAGGTTGCTCTGGGATGCACAGGGGTCGCAAGAAGGATGCTTTGGGGTGCAATCCCCTGATTTATGGCGGCGTCGATCAGAACTGTCTCCTGGTTGGCCGTGAATCTGGTGGCTTGGGTATGTCCTAAAATGGACCCTGTAGGTTAGGCTTTTGGTACTGAAGAGAGTCATTCTGTAAGAAGCCCTTTGTGGCCCCTAAACTGTATGACAACATTCTGAAACCTACGTGTACCTCTGACGGAATAATAAGTAAATAAGGTAATACAGAGGGGACAGGTCCTCTTGAAGTTGAACCAAGCTAACAAAGATGACCTCTATGATGCAGGTTGCCAGATACAGATCTTCTGGCTGGATCCACAGATCTTGCATCTATGTTACAGGGAGGGACCCAGAAAAACAAAAACATCTGTGTTATTGCTGCTGACAGATTGCATCATATGTGTCATAGGAGTAATAAAGCAAAGTTCCTAAAACAAGTGAGGCAAGTCATTTGAAAAGCAACAGGTCCTCTTTAAATATAATTCAACAAATGTCCTGCGGTCAGTCAGGCCCCAGTAAGCACAGGAGTCCAGACACACCACTAGGGTGACGTCTGGATCCCTTGAGGACACCCCCTCCTTCCTGTCATACTTTCCCCGTAGAGAACCCCACCATCACCGCCCAGGTCTCAAGGTGCCACCTACCCGTCATTCCAATAGGTCACCCAATCGCCGAGCTGTCGGGCCCCTCCTTTCCCCACCTCCTGGGGGCCCCAGAGACCCGCAGAAATGCTGAGAATGTTTCCAGTTTTGGAATTAGATTCTCGGATAGATTCCCAGGAGACCCTCGCTCTGTATGATTCCCCTCCATACCGAGTCATTGTTTCTGCGCAGTCCAGGTCCCGTTGTTTCCAAAATATTTTGCCGTGCTATTATTGGCCCGACAGCCAGTCTCGTAACCCGATTTTTATTTTGCTCCAGGGGGCCACAAATTACACGGGACAGACAGAGAAATAACCGCGTGACAGCTATGTACTTTGTGTTTACGACGAGAGTCTCGGTGTACTTTCTGCAGTCTGCGATTTTTATTTTAGGGGCTCTGTAAGAAAACCTCAACTGCACTGAACATGCGTTACGCCGGTTTTCTGCGTTTTTGTGCCCTAACCTGAACTTGATCATACAGAGCCTGATGAAGGGACCCTGCGTGACCCCGACACCATCTATGCGCCAATAAAGGGCGTTTGTTTGGACATAGATTTCCGTGTGCTGCTTTCATCTTGTTCGTAGACAAACCCGAACTCTGATGCATTACCCAATTCTTAATCTTAAAGGCGTAGTCCACCTGTCAGAAAATTAACAAACACGCATTGATCATTGGTTGTATTGCAACCATTATCAGCGGATCGCAGGTGCATTGCTCAGACTCCTGCACACTTTTCCCCCAGCTCCATACCAAAGTCCACAAAGAAACACTGTTCCTCCGCGGCTCGGGACAGGAATAATCCGCGTGTCGGCCGCTGGGAGCACATCCTCACTCCACACAGAAGAAAGATGGCAGCACGCCAGATTCCATTTACTGAAGCTTGTACCACCAGGCCAGGTGTCACCCAGCGTGCACTTCATTGCATTTACGCATGCATGTAATGACGTTACGTTCACTGCCAGAGGCCATCTTGGTGATAGACGCCGGCAAACAGAGGAGGAGAGAATGTTCATCTAGCGGGATTGGGTATGCCGCCGTGTCCCCTCCTCTCTTGTACAGCTGTCGGGCACTCAGTCCATGACTTAGTGCCTTATTTTTTCAGAGGGGGTGACACCAAAATGACTGGTGTCACCTGGTGCAGGCCGCACCCCCTTTGTGATGCCACTGTGTACCTCATCACTGGTGTTCCACCCCAATGATGCATTGCATCAATTCAGAGTTTTAGTCAGAGATATGATTCTACGACTAAGCCCGCGATTGGGTGAAACGTGTCCGAGGGGGTGGACCTTGGGCGGGACACCAGTGATGTGGTATAAGCTTCAATAAACTATTCCAGTGGAATCTGGATTTGTCAGACAGTCAATGAGGAGACCCCTCTGTACTTCTAGGGCCGACATCTCATTTAATGCCCCTCCTGGGGTTCAGTAGATTAATTGGGGAATGAAATTAAGCAATCGTAGCCCCATTTTTCCTATGATTGAAGCTAATTATAATTTTTTACATTTACAGATAATCCCAAATTTTTATCCTGCTCTGGAAGGGAATGTCAGGCAAGGCGTGTTCAGCTCCCTTACCCACATCATGGAGAAGAGAGTCCTGGCGTAAGTACCAATGGCTTGGAGGGGGTTTAGGATGTATTGGGTGTTATCTCCCTATGTCCCTGTATGTGCTGTGCTGGAGATAACCTACTGATCTATAAAGTGATCACAGTCCTCTGGAGGAGATTCCCCCAATGATGTATAAAGGGGTCCCTATACTCTGGAGAAGAATCCCCCTCCCATGAGGTAGTAATGGGTCCTTGTATTTTGAAGAAGATCCCCCCCTTCCATGATGTATAAAGGGGTCCCTATACTCTGGAGAAGAATCCCCCTCCCATGAGGTAGTAATGGGTCCTTGTATTTTGAAGAAGATCCCCCCCTTCCATGATGTATAAAGGGGTCCGTATACTCTGGAGAAGATCCTCCTCCCATGACGTAGTAATGGGCCCTTGTATTTTGGAGAAGATCCCCCCCTTCCATGATGTATAAAGGTGTCCATATACTCTGGAGAAGATCCCCCTCCCATGAGGTAGTAATGGGTCCTTGTATTTTGGAGAAGATCCCCCCCTTCCATGATGTATAAAGGTGTCCATATACTCTGGAGAAGATCCCCCTCCCATGAGGTAGTAATGGGTCCTTGTATTTTGGAGAAGATCCCCCCTTCCATGATGTATAAAGGGGTCCGTATACTCTGGAGAAGATCCCCCTCCCATGAGGTAGTAATGGGTCCTTGTATTTTGGAGAAGATCCCCCCTTCCATGATGTATAAAGGGGTCCCTATACTCCGGAGAAGATCCCCCTCCCATGAGGTAGTAATGGGTCCTTGTATTTTGGAGAAGATCCCCCCCTTCCATGATGTATAAAGAGGTCCCTATACTCTGGAGAAGATCCCCCTCCCATGAGGTAGTAATGGGTCCTTGTATTTTGGAGAAGATCCCCCCCTTCCATGATGTATAAAGGGGTCCTTATACTCTGGAGAAGATCCCCCTCCCATGAGGTAGTAATGGGTCCTTGTATTTTGGAGAAGATCCCCCCCTTCCATGATGTATAAAGAGGTCCCTATACTCTGGAGAAGAATCCCCCTCCCATGAGGTAGTAATGGGTCCTTGTATTTTGGAGAAGATCCACCCTTCAGTGATGTATCAAGGGGTCCCTATACTCCGGAGAAGATCCCCCTCCCATGAGGTAGTAATGGGTCCTTGTATTTTGGAGAGGATCCCCCCCTTCCATGATGTATAAAGGAGTCCCTATTCAGGAGGAGATCCCTCTAGTAATGTATAAAAGGATAACTGTTCTCTTCAGGAGATCCTCCCAGTAATATATACAGTTACAGTTCTTTGGGGAACATTCCCCCTCCCATGACGTATAAAGGGGCCCCTTTATTCAGGTGGAGATCCCTCCAAGTGATGTATAAAGGGGCCCCTGTATTCAGGTGGAGATCCCTCCAAGTGATATATAAAGGGATCCCTGTATTCAGGTGGAGATCCCTCCAAGTGATATATAAAGGGATCCCTGTATTCAGGTGGAGATCCCTCCAAGTGATGTATAACGGGATCCCTGTATTCAGGTGGAGATCCCTCCAAGTGATGTATAACGGGATCCCTGTATTCAGGTGGAGATCCCTCCAAGTGATGTATAAAGGGATCCCCGTATTCAGGTGCAGATCCCTCCAAGTGATGTATAACGGGACAACTGTTCTCTGGAAAAGATCCTCCCATCTATAATGTATACAGGGATCCTTGTATTCTGGGGGAGATCCCTCCAAGTGATGTATAAAAGGATGATTACTGTTCATTGGAGAAGATCCCCCATTCCATGATGTACAAAAGGAGTCCCTGAAATCAGGATGAGACCCCCAAGTCATGTATAAAAGGATAACTGTCCTCTGGAGGAGATCCCCCGCTCTATGATGTATTAAGGGGTTCCCTGTAATCAGGATGAGACCCCCCAGTGATGTCTAATATGATATTGTATCTTTTGCAGTCATTTGGCTCCATTATTCCACAACCCGAAACTGGATAAAGAGCTTCGATCAATGCTTAGAGAGAAATTCCCCGAGTTCTGCAACCTGCCATCTCCAGCCTCAGAAAGTAAGGGGCTGCCCGTGAGTATGTGTTGTTGCTGTTCGCTTTTCTTTTCTTTTTTTCCTTTACTTTTATTATCTGTTTTTCTCTTATTTTATGTTTTTACCCATTTTCTCTCTGTATCCCGTCTCACTTCCTGTCTCCTCTCCCTCTCTATCTTT